ACTTTTTGATGGACAAAGGCGACTTCTTTGTGCACTTCATGGACCTGACGGAGGAAGAGCTGAAGAAGCCAGTGGACGACATCGTTCCTCCCCGACTAGAAGCTCTGCTGGAGCTCGCTCTGAGGATGAGCACAGCCAACACAGACCCCTTCAAAGACGACCTCAAGGCGGGTGGAAATAAGACTGTAGTTCTGTGTACTCTCGTCAGGAAACGTCAAAGTCCCAAGAGTTAGATGGGCTGGTACATAAATATGAAGTTAGAGACACGCTGGTGAAAATAGTGGAGCAGTTGGCAGCTAAAGTGACAGATAATTTCCTCAGGAGGATTTTTAAACATGCTGTTCAGTGGTACCTCACTATGTTCTTGCTCTGGATTCAATATATAGTTAAATAAGCTACATGTACTTAGTCCTGCCTGGCAAACATTTGTCATTTTGGTTAATTTATTAATTCCACTTTCGCTCAAGGCTCGGAGCGAACTCAGGGTCAAGTTTATTTGTAAAGTCTCAGCGGTCTTTACACACCCACAAAATCAGGAGTTTATCCCTTCAAAACAATGGACAGGAATGAAAATAAAGAGAGATGGAAATTAGAGAAAGCAAAACAAGAGCTTGTAACAATCCATCCGATCCTTTGTTACACTAATAAGTGTACTTGGCTTCCTTCACTTGCAGACTGATGTCATGATTTATGAGTCACTCTTTATAACGTTCGGTCTTCCTCTCTTCCTACCACAGATTGACTTAATGCCTCATGACGTCATCACTCAGCTGCTGCGGGTGCTGGCCATCGAGACCAAACAGGAGAAGTCCATCATCAACGCAGACCCGACAGACGTGGCCCTCAGCGGGCTGGAGGCCTTCTCCTTCGACTACATCGTCAAATGGCCGCTCTCGCTCATCATCAACAGGTTCTGTTCTGCTGCTGCCGGTTGATTTTTTTTATCTCTTTTATGCGTTTCATATTGTTTAGCTTTCCTAACTTTCAAGATATTTCAGCATAAAACATAACATAACAAATCCCAAGTGCAGTTGTAATTTGTTATTTTGCCGTTTTGTAGGTGTAAGAGACGCGTTTCTTTCTTTTCAATATGACACGGGAGCAAAATGAACAACTAACCGTTTTGATTATCCGATCCTGTAGGGCTTAACAATTAATCGAAAGATTATCAAAATCAGAATTTGTGGTTGAAATTGCCCCGGCCTACAAATGATATTCTCCATACATGAGGGAACATGCTTGATTGGTACAGACCCCATCAGAAATCTTATCATTTTTATACTGTTTTCAGTGAAAATAAAATCAAAAATTACCAATACAACTAAAATTTTGACTCATATCACAATCGCAATATCTATAAAAATAATCACGATGATTTTGTTTGCATATTTTTCAGCCTTACAATTCTAGTCTTTTTAGTGTCTTTTAACATTTGCTTGCTGCAGCTTCTTAAATCTGAGGACTTGATGCTTTTCTTTGTCAGAAGTGAGAGTATCCTTAAAATATTTAGGGTTTTTAACTCAAGACATCACAAGACGTCCACTTGGGCCTTTTTCACTATTTTCTGACTTTTTATAGGCAAAGCGATTGATTGATTGAGCAAATATAAGGCACATTCATTAATAATAAATATAATTGTAGCTGCAAAAAAAATGTCCCAAATTATAAAATAATAGTGGTTATTAAATTCTGCTGCAGGAGTCTCTGTACACTAACAATATGTTTTCTTCTGTTTAGTTATTTCTGTTTTACTTGTTAGTTTTTTATGTATGACTTTGTAACGTATAAGTAATCCATAAGTAATTTAACAGTATTTCATTTGCAATCATTTTCCAGGAAAGCCCTGACGAGGTACCAGATGTTGTTCAGACACATGTTTTACTGCAAACATGTCGAGAGGCTGCTGTGCAACGTGTGGATCAGCAACAAAGATTTCAAGCAGTACTCGTTACGTTCTCCCAAATGGTGAGTTGAAGTTGAATTTTAGGTGAATTTATGTAAAAATCTCAGCCAGCAAAACGTCCTCACGCTCTGTTCAAACTACCTGTACGCAGGTTTGCTGCTGCGTTCGCGCTCCGACAGCGCATGCTCAACTTTGTGCAGAACATCCAGTACTACATGATGTTTGAGGTGATGGAGCCCACCTGGCACATCATGGAGAATAACCTGAAAACAGTGAGTGCATGAACTCTCCCGTCCTGTTATCGCACCGTCAGTGGTCTTTTGTTTAACAAAAGCGAAGCCGCCACGGTATCACTCTTTATGTGTTGTTGTTGCTGCGCTCGTATGAGTTAGTTTTAACGGTCGGAGGTCAGGACACCTGTAGAACACTGGAAAGGAAACACACAGGTTTCTCGGAAAATGTGGTCTGGTGTTTTTTTTTTTTTTTGTGCTTATCGTCTGTCTTCTCCCTCTCCAGGCGTCAAACATTGATGATGTACTTTGCCACCACACTAGCTTCCTGGACAACTGCCTGAAGGACTGCATGCTGACCAACCCCGAGCTTCTCCGGATCTTCTCCAAACTCATGTCTGTCTGCGTCAAGTTCACAGACTGCATGCAGGTTTGTTGACGTGAAAATAAAGAGGAGCCAAGCCAGCTGCTTGTTTCTGCTCCAGGTCTGTGTCTTTTAAAGCAGGGGTTTAGTCTTAGACTGGGGGCCTCCCCTAAGACAAAGCTTGGAAAAAGGCGGCCCCTCACACCCCTTTAGCTTACTTGCTAAGTTTTGGTCAAATCACGGGTGCCTGTGCAATCCCAATTATGTTATTTGGTCCCATCGACGCTCAACAATTGAGCTAAGACAGCCTAATGTTTGACAGAACTTCAAACTACACAAAATAGATAACAAAAGTCTGTCCTAAGGCGTTTATGAGTTTCTGGGAAAGACAGTAACATTCCCGCAAAACGGTATCTCTGAACTCCGTTTAACCAGATCACACACATTTGGGCTAGTCTCTGTGATTTTCTTTTGATAAGTAATGTAATAACTATTTTTAATAGTAGGCAAGTTGATTTGTGTAGCACATTTCAACCACAAGGCAATTGAAATTGCATAAAAAATAAAAGCAACACTGGGAAATATAAAAAAGATTTTTAGTTACTAACGTAAATACTAATATGTTTTTACTTCCAATCAGTGAGCCTCCCCTGAAACAGTTTGGAGCACCAATGGGAACGCCCGCCTCCCACTTTGAAAACCTCTGTTTTAAAGTATTCATATTGCATTTCATGTTCTGCTTCAATTGAACACTAGATGGAAAAAAATCTACACTAAATCAGGAATGTTAAAACCTGAAAATGAAACTCGTAATTGCTTGTAACAAGATTTTTGTTTTTGTTCTAGCGGTTCACTCAGAGCATGAGGTTAGAGCGTCTCTCTCTGGAACAAGGGACTATGGACGGGCCTCCCACTCAGAGCGAACGTGCTGAGGAGGCAGAGAAGAAGAGGCTGACCACAAAGGTATTTACAAAATACACTCGTCACCCAGTAAAATGTTGGGAAATGTTCAGATTCCTACTTTGTGTTTCTGAAATATTATGAAACAACTGGTGTTTACAAACACTGGAGCATCTGGGTAATATCTTTTACTGCTTCAGTTTTTAGCCGAGTACGTGGACGCCCTCCAGTCAGACGCAGGCTTTGAAGCCACCATCAGCAGTTTTGACAGTAACTTCAGCATGCTGCTGCTGGACCTGCTGGACAAGCTGAGCATTTACAGCACCAACGACTGCGAGCACAGCATGATCAGCATCATCTACAGGTAAAACTGTTCACATTAAATGGACCAAAGATGGGTTTTTCTGTGCACATTCAAATTTATTGGCAGTATATGGATAGATCTACAGAGCTACTGGATATTTTATTCAAACTAGAGCAGACTCCAATACGCCTTGTTTTCCCAGAGGTAGTCGCAGTGTATTCAAATTAAATTGGCCCTATTTTTTTTATCAAGCATTATAAATGACTGATCATTTGCTTACTCTGCTGTTATAATTTCACAGGCTGGATTTCAATGGATTCTACACTGAGCGGCTGGAGAGGATGGCCATCGAGCGGAGTCAGAAAGCAGCAGCGTAGCATGTAATACATTTGTCACTCCACAATAAAAAGAGCCTTTCCACATGTCTGCCCGTTACTCCAACGCCAGCCGCCCATACAAACATCAGCCGTTGATTCAAAGAGCTGATACTTGTGTATATAATATTGTAACGTTACTGTATCAAATGTAGAGTTATAATCTGATGTTTGCAGCGTCATTTCAGTGCTTCAAATTGTACATTTTAAGAAATGTGGAACTTTATTCTGCTCTGAAAGTGAAACTCAAGACTCTCCTTATGGGTAACTTATTGTACCTGTACAATAAAATGTATGTTAATATTTCACTTCATTAAAAAAAATGACTTTTAACTGACTGTTTATGCAACTGCTATGTAGCCATTCTTTTGCTTGTTTGACTGAATTATTTAAGATAAATGACACATTTTCAATGTGTGAGGCGAATATTTATTATTTAATGAAAGGTATTTGTAGGTTTTTTTATTAATTTGTGGCCTGATAAGTGTTATAGTATAACTGTAGACCATAAAACAGGTTATAACTCTGACACTTAGCAGCGTGAAGTTAGCCAAAACTAAAGTCGTACCGGAAATATAACGCGACTGACTTCAGAATAAAAGCGTAACCTGTCAAAGACGTACATGTTAAAATGTCAACATATAGAGTATTTATCTGCTGGTTATAAGTAGATCTAACGTTATATTTATATTGTAGAATATCTTATATGTAAAATTTTGAGACCCGTGTTTTATTTTGTCTTTTTAAGCTGAAAGTTTGTCAGTAAAATGGGGAAAAAACGGAAGAATGCTTCAAGTGGGGAATTTCAAGAAATAGACGGAGCCACAAACTGAAGAACGCCTAAGCATTTCCAACAATTAGACGGAGCCATAAACTTAGTTGAACCGCGATTACATGGCGCCCCCGTGGAAACCTTAGGGAAAAGTTCCGTATCCAAATGTATTTTCCTGATGCCCGCTCTCTGGTTGGAAAGAGGAAAATGTTTTTCAGCGTGTAAACTCAACGTTTAAGGTAATCTTTCCGAAAAGTGTTCCGCTACGCACTCCTGCGCTAGACGTGCGTTACGCTTGGCACACAAAGTATTTGCGGATTTTATTTTAAAGTTTGTTTCGCCCCGGCCTAACATTTCATGGTTCCGGACATCTGCTGGATTACGAAAAAATAATTTTCAAAGATACAACCCGTCTTTTGTACAACAAGTGTTTTGTTTTATTTCACCGGAAGTCTGCTTTAAGTACGTGTCACCGTAGCATACTTGACTGTTTCTTTCCGGTAAACGTGTGAGGGGGCGATAAGAAGTAACCGGAGGCGGAGCTTTAACGGAACAGCTGGCCCGGAGTTAACGGGTAGATGAGCTGCAGTGCCCGAGCACAGCGCACCGACATGGGAGCGAACATGTTCTCACTGTGGCTGACATGGGGTAGGTTCAGAGTTCACTATTCTGCATTGAAATACTTTTTTTACGCGTTTGTTTTTGTTTCCCTACATTTTTATCCCGGTTGAATAAAACACACGCTGACAGGAAAACTTGGAGAAGAAGCTGTTAATGTTCTGTCCGCCGTTTGTAACGCCATTAAGTGCGTCTGAAGGCTCATATCGTTTGTAAAACTAATTTTTGTTGTCGCTATGTGAATGTAATTAATAAGAATTTTCAGACTGTATCCACTGAAATATTTCATGTAAATGCGAATAACAGTAAAGTTTTGTTTGCAGTTTGTCTCCTGCAGTGCTCTGGGATGTTGTCTCAGGTGGAGAGATATGAGGTGGTCAGACCTCAGAGACTTCCAGGGAGACAGAAGAGGAGCGTGCGGGACAACCAGGTGACTGACTACACCTCACCTGCCTCACACACCTGTGGGACCTGTAACCTGCATCATGTACTGATTCTGCATACAGAACATCATTTTGTGTGGGGGAAGAAGATCTAACACTTAGGGCCACATCACAATGTAAAAAGATACAGGTACAGAATTGTTATCATAAAAAAATGTACTTTAATATATAAAAAGTCAAAGTAATCATCTGTGTGTAGAAGTACAAATAACTTTTACTACTTTATATACGGTTGTTTATTTTCTTCATAACCTTATCATATGTTTTTTTTCTGTAAAACGTTTATCTTCAAAGTAACTACACCTCTAGTGCAGTAAAAAGTACAATATTTACTTATTAAACATTATGGAGTGTTATTGTAAAGTAGCATAAAAGCACAGAGTAAATGTACTTCATTTCTTCCCACCACTGCAATAGATTAAAGTACCAAACAGTATATAAAGAAGCTTCAATTATTTTCTTCTCGACCTGCTTTAAATATTACTTACACATCTGTGCATCACAGCTGTTAATACTCAATACTGCAATACCACAGAAAAAAAAATCTTAAAAACAGGTAAAAGACCAGTTTTTAATATTATTTTTTTCTGTGGTATTGCTATTTTTGCCCAAGTAAAGGATGTGAGTACTTCTTCCACCACTACAAATGTGTATAATTGTTACAATTATCAATAGTTGTCATGAATTTTCTACAGCTTTATCCTGATACAGTTCGGTACGAGTTGGCCATCGAAGGGAGGAACCACACAATGTATCTGGAAAAGAACAAGTAAATATCGTTTTTTTGTTTTCAATTCTTAACACTTAATATTTAAGTATTTGAAAAATAAAACTGTTTTCACCTGTATTAAATAGGAATCTTATTGGGAGAGGCTACACTGAAACACACTATTCAGACGATGGAAAGCGTGTGACAACGTCACCAAATGAGGTGAGATGTTACTTTTAATTTACCTTTGATGCATTATAATAATTGTTAGTTGCTGCGGAGAGATTATTTCTGTTAAAAATGTAGAAATCCACTGAAACCAGAGATGAGCTTTGGCTTAGTAGCCTATTTTCACTACTCCCAATACTGTATTTGACAAAATACTGTTTTTATTATAATTTGAACTACAGTTAGCTATATTTTATATTTAATTAATACAGTAATTTCAAAAGCATTTGAAAGAGTCAATGAGATTCCGTTTAATGATTTTTTATTCATGGAATAAATATACAAATGTCAATTAGAATCTGCATTAGACAAAAATCTGTTATAATAGTGATCAATTTGAGCCCGATGAGGTTTCCACTGAATTATTATTAATCAGGGTAACTAGTTGAAACCATTAGCAGGAGAGATACTCTCAGGTTGTACCTACTGCTTAGTATTTAACATGTCACACATTAAAACAAAAACATGGTTACGCAGAAATAAATGCTACATTGGTATCTGCAAACGCGTCAGTTTTGCCTTATTCTATGAGCAAAGGTAATATATTGTGACAGTATGGAGTTTACGCCAAACCCAGCATGATTAAGATCCGACATTCTTAACCTGTGAATCATAATTTTACTGAAGTTAAAAACAACCCTTTTTGAGTAACACCGTTAAAGAATAACGTAAAGTACGAACAGTGACGTCTTTGATCTGATGAGTGTATTTCCCTCCAGGAGCACTGCTACTATCACGGTCACATTGAAGGTGTGAGGGACTCTTCCGTCAGCGTTGGCATTTGTTCAGGCATTAGGTAAGAAAATTAAGATATTTTTAAACCTTTGAACTTCCTTATTCGTTTGTAATTCGCCGCTCGCCAGTGAAAGTTTCTTCAGTGACTTCAGTTCTTGTGAAACGTGTTGCTTCATGATAGCAATCAGTTGGTTTGTCAAGGTGTTTATGAAGCCTGCTTGTGTGTTGCTGTACCTGCGCTACAACTGTATTTAAATCTTTTTTTTTGTTGTGTTTTTAAATTCAGTTCTTTGCCTTTCGTAAAGCACTTTGAATTGCCTTTGTGTTTTAAAGCTGTTTTCAGCAAAGTTGGCTTTCCTTGTGGAAATCTTTTACATTATTAAAAATAATAAATGTGTTGAAACCTCAACCAAATCTTGTGGACAAAACCATTTTCCCCTGTATGCTGAATCATATTTATGCTGTTTTGCTTCAGAGAACCTACAAATTAAGTGTTTGTGTTGTTGTTTTTTTGTGTTTGCAGCGGCTTTGTGAGAGCCCAGCAGCAGGTTTACCTGATAGAGCCTCTGGGACAGTCCGACGATGGTGACCATGCAGTTTACAGACACGAGCACCTGAAGGTCAGCTGTGGCTCTTCGTCCAACACCACCACACTGTACGACCAGGACCAGGACCCGGGCCCTCGGCTCGCTGGCCTCTTCAAGTCCAGATCGTGGGTAAGTAACTAGGCCTGTCGTGATTACAACAACAACAATTACTTTTGTTGGATTATATAATGTTCCAGAAATAATTTCGATATAGTAAAATAGAGTTTAAGACCATTTTGTGCCACTTCCATAATAATAAATCAAAGAGCAATGAACGTTTTATTCACAAGACTATTCAGACATTGGAAATTGGAATGGGGAAAAAATACTAAAATAAAGAAAACATTAATTTAAAAAACCCACACAACCAAAACAAAAAATAAAATTGATGTGTCTGCATAGTTTTTATTGTTCACAGCACTTAGGTGCAAAAAGGCCCCAAGTCTTATAATGGTGGGGAAAATCCTGCTGTTTATTCTGGCATGATAATGGAGATGATGCTAAAATGTTGGAGACATTCTTATGGAAACAAACACGCATGTAAACAACAGGTAACATCAAGGTCAGCAAAAATGATCGAGGGCTCGATGTTCATATATTGTACGATAAGTCCATAATGTAATTATCGTCACAGGCCTGCGGGTGCCAGGAAATTATTATTTACACTGTAACATCAACATATACACCCTGGGTGTTTAATGTAAAGGCCAAGAAGGCACAAACAACTAGGAAGCAGCGTGCTGAGGCCACGCTGAGGTGCCAGAGTTTGGACATGTCGTGATGTAGCCCATTTGGGAACAATACTTTCATGCCATCACAGTTATCCCTGGTTTTTATTACTGTAGGTCACTGTTGTAAATGAATTATCAGCCCTGTTTTATGGTAATATTGGATTTTCATGTGGGTGTCGGTGTGAAGAAGAACATTTGAATTACCGTGTTTTTAATTTGCCAAATAAGATCGATTTTCCATTAAATGAAAAAAAAATCTGAAGATTTTATCCATGTCACTCCCTGAGTCATGAGTAAAACATTAAAAAACAGCACCTGTGTGTCCACAAACTTTTGGCCCCAACATGCAGGATGGATGTTTATGCTGAATGTACTATATGTAAATCAAGTATCTTATATCTGTTTCCTTTTCTGTCTGCTCTCTTATGTCTATAATTTTGCGCCTCTTTATGTTGATTTAAATAAGAATATTAGTTTGAAGGTTGTATCTGTTTCCTTTTTTTCTTCAGAAACCCATCGCAGGTCCACAGAGGTTTGTCGAGCTGTATATGGTGGTGGACAACACTGAGGTAAAAATCTCATTTTAAGTCCTTTACAACTTCCCAACGCTCAGTGAATCTGATCATGTTTGTCTCTCCTCTTCCTGCAGTATAAGCTACACGGAAGCAAGACTAAATCTCGTATTCTCGGAGTTGTGAATCACGTCGACAAGGTAAATTCAGGCTAATGTTTTAGAAGCTGTTCGTCTGCTGTCGTGCCGTCGGCGCTCTCAGCGCATTCACTCACTGAAAGCCGTCTCCTCCTCCGCTTGCAGCTGTATCGACATCTGAACATTCACGTCATGCTGGTGGGTTTGGAGATCTGGACAAACAGAGACTACATCGACGTTGACATTAATTCAGAGACTGCTCTGGACAATTTCCTCATGTGGCGGCAGGTCGATCTTCTGCAGAGGGCGAAGCATGACAACGCCCAATTTGTGACGTGAGGATCAGTCTTTGATATCTGCGCAGGTGTTGAACACAGTTATGCTGCCAGTTTGACCTGACGTTATACTTTCCTCACTCAACAGTGGAAAAGACTTTGTGGGAGATACCGTTGGATTGGCGAATAAGTTTGCCATGTGCACTGAAAACTCAGGTGGAGTGAATCAGGTATGAATCAAGACACTCGTCCTTTTACATCTGCAGATGAAGGGAGCAGGTTGGTGTTTCATGATGCATCCTGCTGAATTTAAAGCGCCATTGCTGCGTTTCTCTCCCAGGATCACCAGGATAATCCGATAGGCCTCGCCTCCACCATCGCTCATGAGATGGGACATAATTTTGGCTTGTCCCACGATGTTGAAGGTTGTGTGTGTGGTCCGTCTTACAGCAGTGGGAACTGTGTGATGGCAGACAAGCTCAGGTAAGGACGTCTTCCTGCTATTTTTTGTTTTATGTTTGTTTTTTTGCAAGAACGTCATAAAGATTCAGCTTGGAAGTATGTGGCCAAAAGTTTGTGGACTCCCCCTATCCTAGTTTTGAGCCAGGCCACTCAGTTCCAGTTAAGGGACATCTTAATGCTGCAGCGTACAAGGATATTTTAGACACAACAGTTCTTCCAACTGTGCGTCAACAGTTTGTGTTTGACTCTTTCTTGCGTCAACATGATGATACCTCTGTGCACGCAAGCACATCCGACGTCCACATAATTTTGGCCACATGGATTATAAACTGTTTTAGCTCTTGTCTTAAATTTAAATCTTTTGTAAAGCTGAAATCTCTTTGCTCCTCTTCAGGACAGGAAATATAGCGTTCCCGGAGTTTTTCAGCAGCTGCAGTGTGAAGCAGCTCGCTGAATTCATGGAGCGAGCTCAACCCAGCTGCTTGTCCAAACCGTCAGACTCTGTTAAGACCATCGCTGTGGGCCCTCGCTGTGGCAACGCCCTGTTGGACCCTGGAGAGGAGTGTGACTGTGGCACTGTGGAGGTACAACCTTCAGTAGAGGCTAATGACACTGGTTGTAATAGATTTTTGAGACCTTGGAAAGTTTAAATATATTATTTGGTGAAGGACGACACCATTTTGGTTTTCTGTTTAAGCTGACTAGTGTGGTTTCCTGTATGTGAGGTTAGCGCTAATAAAAGGGAAGTTAGTGGTGATTCAGGGCATCCAAAGCTGAAGTTTGGCCTCGAACATTAAAATAGTTTTCCTGTGCGCTCACATCTTTTCAGAGAGACGAAATTCTTGGCAGAGATGCTGCATGTGTGGGAGAATTAAATCTGATGTGTTTCAACTGAACTTCATTACTGCAAATTCCAGCTGAAAGTGTAACTGGATAGAAACACAACTGAAAAAGATTGTGGGTTTTTAATTTTTAGGAATGCAAGAATTCTTGTTGTGATGCCTCAACTTGTCGTCTGACTGAAGGATCCCAGTGTGCTCATGGACAATGCTGCGACGAATGCCAGGTACTTTAGCTACCATTACCCTTTAGCTAGCTTTAAAAGTTGGTTTCTTATACTTTACCTGCTTAAAGCCCAGAGTAAAAACACCAGAATCCCAAACATATGATTAACAATACCTGCTAAAATCGACATGCTAAAATGCTGATGTTTTGAATATCAGAGTTATTACATCCAGAGGGGAACATGAATGCACTTAATTGAATGGCATGATATATTTTACTCGCAAATGTACCAGAACCTCATGGTGGCACCTGAGGAAAAAGTCAGGGGATCACAAAAGTCATCAGGATTTATCCTCTGGGAACCACAAATGTTAAAACAAAATGTTGTGCCAATCCGTCCAGTATACGTTCACTTTGAATGACCTGCTGTTCACACGAGCAGAGAATCAGAGGTCAGTAGGATTAATGGCAATCCATCTAATAGTTGTTTAGATATTTCAGTCTGGCCCAAAGTGGTGGACTGACCTACTGACTGACAAACCAACATGCTGCTAGCATTGCTAAAAAAAACCCTGCTAGACTTGGTCAAGAAAGCCAGATCAGCTCCATTACAGCAGGTTACAGAAAGGCCAGTCATACAGACACACCCTGCTTCTTCCTAATAACTGGGAGGAGGTTACTCTTCGAACCACATTAAAACAGCAGCAGTTCAATAATAACAGGAAACAGAGGGTGATATCCTTCTGTTTCCGTCAACTCACCACATCCTTCTGCATGAAATACCACTTAAATACACAAGCTTAATTATATACCGTTTACAAGAAATTCTAACTAAATCAGCCGAAATGTACTTTAACCCACAGTTAAAACTGGCTGGAAGTGTGTGCAGAAAGTTGGCCGGTGACTGTGACCTGCCTGAATACTGCACCGGAGTGTCTGAGGATTGTCCTGAAGATAGTTTTGAGATGAACGGCAAAGCGTGCTACGACCAGGCACCGGGCTACTGCTACAACGGCCAGTGCCCCACACTTGAGCAGCACTGCTGGAGGCTGTTTGGATCAGGTACCCTCATCACACTGCTGTCAGTATGGTCATTCAAGTAAAAGAAGTAAAAACAGGGGTTTCTGTGTTTTCCATTTCTTGTTAATAGACAAGATGAGCCTGAAGGAGCTTTAGTTATTAGTCTGTTTTCCGTCACATGGTAGAAATGGCTCATTCTAGCAAGGATTTAATAGTGTGCACAAGGACTACAGAGAACTTGAATGAATAGCGCTCTCACAGAATATAGGAGTCTCTGCATCTATAAAACAAGTGTGTATTTATCAAGCACATTTTTACTATCTCCAACTTTAATGGTGTCTGTAACATCATGCAACATCTCTTGTGCCTGAACCTTAACATATAGTATCATTGACAGAGATGTCCCGAGCCCCATCATAAGATCTCCACCAGAGTTAAAAACAAAGGTTATACAGTATTTAAGCCAGGAAAAGAAACAACACAGATGATAAGAGATAGTGGGTTAAAAAAGACGATTTGACTTACTGAATCAAAATCATGACACAATATGTTTATAACCTGACAGTAGAGATGACAGGAAATGAGGGGAGAGAAATGAGGAACGACGTGTTCTCATGGTCAGTAAACGCCAGATCACCAGGGCACCCCTGGCTTTTGACATATTGATTTATGGTCTCAAAATTATGACTTAACTTGTTGAAAACAGGCCCCCTTTTCCAGGAAAAACGCTTAAAATAACATACCCAAATAAATCAGGAATAACTCCTCAACCATATGGCCTAGATGCGTAATTCTGGTCTCCTTTGGAAGGTCAGAAGCTAAGAAATATCAATCCATTGTAAATTAACATATTTATTTTACCATTACAGACTAAATTGAGATGCAATACGGAAAAAATAGGATATTTTCAACCTCGCCTAAGCTATATTTTAATGCAATAAACCATCAAAACCATCATAAGATTAAGGAATAAGATTATAATGCAACTGAACATATTTTAATACACCTGGAATGCACTTGTAACTGTAAATTTGATGAAAATAAACTAAAATACAACAGTTATCATACAATATTTTCAAAATATACCAGGCGATTGTCCATATTTTGGCAATATTTACTGTTTAAATGTTGATTTTTTATTGGGAGTTATATTTAAAACACTATTCATGTATACAACCACGTTCTAAATAACATAACATTGAAGTATTGATAAAAACTGTGAATATTCATCAACATTTCTGTCACCAAAAGCACCCCCATGCTTTATAGGCCTGTAGCTTTAGAACGGAGTGATGGATACTCTGGTTGTCTGTGTAGCTCCTACGGGTCGGCCACCAAATGGCCACCAAGCAAAAAAGGCCGTAAGTCAGCGGTTTTGACGATCGTGTGCTGCACCTGGTATCTCTGGGCATCTGTGTTAAATTAATATTGTTAACCAGTCTAAATAGAAATAGTATTTTTTTTATTTTTCCATTCATCATCTTCCTTTTATACCAACAGTCATTACAAACTCATTCTGTGCAGCCAAAAGCATTTTTAATTTTAGATTCTGTGACTCTAATTCTATTTCTCAACTTTAATTTGAAAAAGTCAAAATGTTGACTTTGTATTTAATACTTTTTTAAAAAGTATTTTTTATTTTTACCATTTTTAACTTTTCATCTAGTCTTTTTCTTATCCTGGCATTAATGGTCCTCCATATATTTAAGACGTTAACCATGAACATCTTCTTTCCTCAGGGACCAGAATTGGAGCAGATATATGTTTCGACCTGAACAAACGGGGCATAGAAGGTTTAAACTGCGGGAGGAACAAGTTCGGCTACACCCCTTGTACAGCACAGTACGTATCATCAACACACACTTCTTGGTTTCCATTGGTTTATCACAAAACGCCCGTGAAGGAAACTTGGCACACAGAATGACCCCGTGCTAGCAACAACTGTCAAAAAAGTTCTTGATTCATTTATTCATTTTTCTTTTGTTGTAGGAATCTTAAATGTGGATCTATATTTTGTGGAGGAGGGGGTGAGTCCATCACAGGTAAAAGGTCATCCTACACTGTGAACGGCATTGAGTGTAAAGTACCTGTGGATGATGATAAAACTAGAAACATCGACATGGTGCCAAAAGGAACCAGATGTGGAGTAAATAAGGTAAAACTTTCAGTTGGAGACACATTATATGGAGTTTTGTTATGTTGGATGTTTTGCTCAGAAGTGAACATTTGTGCACAGGTTTGCCTCGACAACAGATGTGTGGACGTATCAGTCTATGGGCAAACAGAGGATTGTGCCAAGAAATGCAACAACAAGGGGGTAAGAGATTTATTTTAACTTTTAAGTTTTCAATTTGACTCCTCTGGACCAAAGTGCCATTGAGATGACTCATGTCTGGATTCATTTTATTGCATTTTGTCTTCAGGTGTGTAACCACAAGAAAGAGTGCCACTGTAATCCTGGCTGGGCGCCACCCTACTGTGACATCCAGTATGCAGATTTACCTCAAGGTACAGGACGCTTCCCGGAAGTGGTTTTATGACAGGAAACAAAGTCCAACTTTCTGAGGAGGTTTGGTTGCTCTTGGTCAGCTCTCAGTGAGCAGCACAGAACTAAAAACAGGTCACACCTGCTGGTTGAATCATTCTTCCAGTTAGTAATTAACATGAATGATTCATTCTTTGTGATTTCCTATTTTCTTCCAGCTCTGACCTAATCGAGTGTTCCTGGTAAATCTTAAAACTGACCTCAGTTAAATGTAGTGCGGCTCGATTTATGGAAAATTATTTTGTTTAATATTGAAATCAGTTATTTAACACCATTACTCACTGACTTGGAAAAAAATCATGCATTTATTGAACCTAAAAAAAAAATGAATAGTGAATTTGCTTGTATTTTAAATATAATGTAACTGAAAATCACTCAAATTGATTAATCCATTATTAAAATAGTTGATGATTAATATACATCCCTGAGTTTTAAAATGATGAATCTACCTTGATTAATCGGTGCAGACACCTCCATGTAACAAATCTTGCAATCTCAAGTTTTTGTCGCTGTTCTTTGTTGGACTCCTTGAAGCGTTTCCAAACAGCTGAATTGGTTTTACCTTTCTCTCTCCGTCGTCTTGGCTCGAGCTGAACTAAACTTGCCACAGCCTGCAGAGAGTGAGTTTGGGCTTCACAGTAAACGACTAAAAAAAAACAAATAAAAGGAAGAAGAACAGAAAGATAATAATAATAATCTTTCTTTGTAGAGCACTTTTCAAAAACAAGTTACAAAGTGCTTTAACAAGTGTAAAGACAATAATGCAAAAACAATACAAGATAAAACATTGAAAAGAATAGAATAAAATAAAAGGGATAAAAGGCCAGAATTGTGAAATGCTTTAGCACAGAGTGTTCAGCACTTTCTTCTTTCATCACCAGGACAAATTGAAGAACTCGTGAAACCGGTATCTTCAGTAAGCTGCTTCATTGTGCATTTTCCCTAAATTATGGTGAAAGAAGTTGCTCGTTATAGTGAAGACAGTGATGGTGTAAGACTGTTGACTAATTAGAAATGACACCACTCTTTCTGAGTAACAGAACAGCTTTCCTCTTGTTTTTGTGCAAATGTCAGTCTGGGGTGGACCAGGTGACCGGCATTTCCGTCCCGAAGCTAGAGTGCCTAAAAATTAGCCATATATTTAGTATACGTTATGACTTAAACTGTGCATTAAAATGATTACACCAACAGAGATAGTGTCTATTAGAAAGTGCAGCTGTAACGGTGTAATTTCCCTCTCTATGTCTGCAGGTCAGAGTGGGATAATAGCTGGTGTGTGTGCAGTTCTCTCCATCCTCCTGGTGATCACAGTACTGACTGCAGGGCTGATGTGCTGTAAAAAGGACAACATGGACAGATACACCTCTAAATGGTATTGATTTCATTCTCTTCGCGTTTCATATTCGGCTCTGCCCATGTCTGTTTGTTGGTCTTTCCTTTCCCAGCTGAATACATTTCGTGTTCACAGGAAAGTGCATTCAGACAAGTCGAAGTCGGTGATCCAGGAACCACATGTTAAAGAGAGAGTGCACATCAGTCAGCCCACTTTCGTGGGATCAACAGCAACACGAGCCAGCGCTCCTCTGATTGTTGGTGTGACTCCCTGCAGACCCGCTCCACAGGTACAGAGAGCAGTGATGCTAAAGGAATTACTCATGGAAATTCATGTCAGGGGGCAATTAGTTAATCGTGTGTGGGCAGGTTACAGCTGTGAGTGTATGAAGAACATAATTTGCAATATCAGTGTTTTTTTTTTTCCTCCCCAGCCTCCAAGGAACTTGTCTTCTACCTCACAAACTGAGCCGGTAAGCTTAAAAAATGCATAATAAAAACTGAAGATTCAGAATTGAGATCCCGAAGTCAAATTAAATAACACACGGAGAAAGTTGTCTGTATTCAGATGTGTGATGTGCAACTGCTTCAAGGATAAGGCTGCTGTAATTGTGTAATCTTAATACTTACTGTCAACAAATCCCATGAAAAGACTCAAAACCAACAGTCTGTCAGTCCATCACTCAGACTCAAGCCCATAGGTTCCCAAGAAACATTTCTTTTAAAAACACATCGCAGTTTTTTAAAAGGCTCAGTAATCTCCTAAAACAGCCACTCACTGTAGTTAGTAATGAATTGTTACTCAAATAGGAGGAAATCCTGCATTTGTTGGGGACTATTTGCAGCGGCGGATGAATCCAAGTGTGGTGCTTTAGTGAGTATTTGGGGCAGCAGGACGGTGGATGTGAGTCAGAATAAACTACATGGTAGTGAAGGAACATGTCACCCAGTGCAACAGTGAGACTCATTGATGTGTTTTTAATAGTTTTTGGACAAAGACGGAGCTCTATGGCTCAGAGGAAGAAGATATATCAGGCTGAGATACACACAGGACTTGGAAGGAGATACATTAACTGTTGGTTTTGTTTTTTTCATTGGATTTGTTGACAAGAAGAAACATGTATAATATCTCTGAGTGTGTGTATAGCGATGTACATTTAGTTAACTGAAAACTACTTGAGTATACGTGAGTTGTGTTTAAAGTGAAAAATCAAACGTAAATATCTTACTGACTTTCTTCTTCTTTACCACAGACCAGACCTCCTCCTTTACCTCCATCAAAACCTTTCCCGCCTCTGAATAAAACACAGGTGAGTCACACCTGCAGCTGCTTTCACTGGTCTCAGTTGCAGCTTCTCTAATGTGTGGATTTGCTGCTTTTCTCAGTTTTAAGTATAGTTAAGTATAAACTGAATATCTTTGGACTGTTGGACAAAACAAGAATTTTTTTTGACATTTCATAGACAAAATGATGACTTGATAGATTCATCTTTAATGACAACAATGATTCGCTGCAGCCTTTTCTAACTATTCTAAATATTTTTGTATTTGCTATTACACCCATATATTTATATTATGTATTCCACACACACTACAGAGCGGTAGTCAATGGAGAGAGACAACTGTTCCCTGAACTACACAGATGCTGATAATTTTGTCCTTCAAAACAAAAATGTTCTTTGAAGTTAGCTTCAGTTACATTAGCTTGACTTTCAAAATTACATTTTAAATTGATAAACATCATGTGTGTAATTCAGGGCACAGTTCAAACGCGTCTCTCGCCGCTGACTACTGTACATATTTTTTTCCAAAATAAGTTGTTGGTCCACTGGAATAGGAGGGACTTTCTGCTCTCTATAGATATCCCAACTTCATTATGACTAACTGAGTCTGTCCCAATTACCCACAGTAGTCAAGTGACTACTTGTGTGCTGCATTTTCAGTAAATACATGTCTCTCACTCGAGATCGGACACTTTCACAAAAAACTTTCCCCTTTATGAACTCAAACAGGCCGTACAAATCACTCAGGAGCTGAAGAAGTAATACAATAAATCAAGACATTTAAATGAGTTTTTGGTGTTCTTACAGCAGCCAAGAGTATTTAAAGAGGTGTCCATCCTGAGCACGTCTGGCAACTTATATTTTATGACATAAACTATTTTTGTTTTTTGTAATTTTTTTATTCCAATATAAAGAAGTAAAGGGAAAGCATAGAAACTTCCTGTCCCAGTTCTTTTTCCCACGTCTGTTTGATGACAGTGGTATGGTACTTGAAATGTTGTATTCTATTTTATATTCATTATGTTTTATTGTTTATCTTTAAATTCATATGAAAAGTGTTTAAACGATTGAACTGTTAAACCTTTATGCGCCCAAAGTCTAAACTGCATACCCAGACCAGTGACCTTTCTTCTTTGATCAAATTTATTTAGTAATTTTAAATAGTTCTTTATCCATTTCCTGCCTCTTTAAACGGTAGTAATTCCCACTCCCTCTCCCCCGGGGATCATGAACGTCTTATCTTAAAGTTGCATCCCATTTTCATGGATTAGACTGCCATCCGTGTTTGGGACCAGATAAAATCACAACAAAACTAAACATCTCTCCCAAACCTCCACACTTTTAGGTGCAGAGATAACAACTTCACATTTATAAAATATGTCTGAAATTAATCTTGTTTTGCCTTTCAGTACAAGGCAGCCAAACCAGGTCCTCCTCCTGTACCTCCGGTGAAGCCCAGCCCCCGTCCGGCTGCCAGAATCAAGCCATGCACTCCTCCACCGCCGCCATCGAAGCCACAACTTCACAGACTCACATGAAAGTCTTACTTAAAGTATCAAGTTTGACCAAAGCAGAAGACATTCAGCATGCAGTTGTGTTTATATAAGAAGAAAACCATGTTTTTTGGGATCAGACGTGTGAGTCAGAGAACTGAGAGTTTGGAAAAGTTAACTCTTCAAAGCCTTTTTAAAGATGCCGAAGCTTCATCGACTGAGAATGTCTTTGATGACACGAGACCAACAGCTTCACCGCTGCTGTGGAAAAGTCTCCATTAACTGCTGCTGCAGTTGTTACTGTTGTGCGTTTGTAAAAAAAAAAAAAAGAAAAGTTGTTCTTTCTGCTAACGTCCTTTGTAACAATGTGTTGCCTTGCTGCACTTTTGTTAATTTGAGGGAAATAGTGCTCAAATTGAAATGTACTTTATATATTTATTGAATGTTTGTGCACGGGACTGTACGGAAATTATTAGACGGGGAAATGGGATTGAAAAGGTTGGGAGGGTTATGTGTTTTTCCTTTTTGGTGAAGGGCAGATTTTATTTCAGCCTTCAATCGACCTGCAGCCTAAGCACTGCTAATATAGGTCAACCTGCAATAACTGATCTGATGATCACATTTTAATTTAAGACGGCGAACTTGTTAGCATACAGTTGCTTATTTACACATCCAGCAGCTACAGAGCAACATTCATGTGGTGGAGTCGTGTTTCTGGCCACTTGATGAACTTGAGTCCGATATTCTCTCTTTTAACTCTGTTTTGGTCTCCACCAGCTCCTGAGGGAAATATCTGGCGCTTTAGCTGCTAAATGCACCACCATGTTCACCAGCCAGTGTTTAACTGTTTGCTGTTGAGCAGGTCATGTAAAAGTGGGTTTTACAGTTGTCACTTCTCTATAGGTTCATCACTACGAGCGACCCCTTTCACATTATCATCAAAATATTGCATATAGTCTTGTGAAGTTTTTATTAAATGAACTGGAGAGGGTTTGAGCTCTCCACTCCAATAATTTCCGTACAACTGTGTCCAAAGCCAGGCAGCCTTCTATGAGGTTACTTTTGTATAACTTGCACTGTACTTGAAAACCTTTGAATGGTACTCACAGTATGGGAGTCTTTGCACAGTTCGGATGACCTGTGTGAAAAGCCTTTTTTTTTTACTGCACTGATATGTCTCTAGGTCAACGATCACCTTGTAAGTTAAATTGTCTTAAAATACAAAATATCAGTTGGTATGACCACAATCCTACTTTTTAATCTGTCTACCCAAGAGAGAGCCTTTTGTTGCAACAATTAAAGGGCACTTTTTATTACAAAAGTATGAAGAGATCATGTTGCATCAGGAGATTACACAAGTTATCAGTGTGAAACAAGGCGTGACAGATGGCTTCTTATCTCTGTGCTTCTTTTTGTGAATTGCATAATGATTAAGTTACATTTTGTCCACGTCTGTGTCTTTTCTTGTAGAACATGATTGTTAACCTACTCAGATGTCTTGTATTGTTATTCCAAGGACACTGAATCTACATCTGTCAGCAGTTAATTTACATTTATTGGTCCTCGGTGATTAGCTAAAGGAAACGGGGAAGCAGCAGTGAGTCAGAGCTGTGCAGCCGGGCTCAGACCCCCGGCGTGAGCTCCTATCGTCCGGGTTTCCAGCTCAGGCTTCTTAAACAGTCAGACACAAAGGCTGATGGGCTTTTATTTTTGTTTCCAGTTTAACAGACTCAAGACTTATCGTGGGAAACAAACCAAGAACTTTCTAAGTGAATTAGCAATAAAAGCTGATCCAAAGGCCAGCACGCCAATATTAGCACATCACAGATATACATGTTGGCTGATAAGGTGCCTTTTGAAACGGTGTCACATTTACTTTAGTTTGTAGATGCCATGCGAGCACGTTGGCTCTTTGGATGGCAATGTCAGTTTTATGTTCCACCACTTTGGTTCAGACTGAAATTTCTCAACTATTAGATGGATTTCCTTTAAATTTTGTTGAGACATTCATGTTCCCCAGGTGATCAATTCAGGCTAAACAGCCAGATTTATTTCTCAGGAGTTGGTAGAGACCAAAAATGAGCTCGAAAGGGAGTGAAAATTCAACTTTGCATTTATGGAGAGCATGCTGAGGCAGTGTAATGATTTAATTAAAGGTACAAATTTTCTCATTGATCACCCTGGATTTGCCTATTTGTTAATAAATACTGTTACAATGTAAATGAATCACATGCCTACATTATGGTATGATTAGTTTTTTAAAGTTGAGGTATACAGTCAGACACATAAGCATTCATTTAATGAGAGAGAGAGATAGGCTATTTAATTCACATTTAATTATCAAAATATAGTGCCTATGTGAAGGCTAATAAGCTGAATAAAAACTGAAAAAATAAATATATAAATATATTTACTGACCAATCATAAAAATGGTGATAAATTTATTGAGAAATGTTTGTAGATTTTTCTTTTCAAAGTTTTACTGTAGCAGTTTGAAAGACAAACAGCTACTCAGTGCTGCACAAGTACTGTATTTCTGACTAGAAAACATTTATAAAAGGAAGTTCAAAAATGTTTTTATTAGGATAAACCCCTTGAGATGCACCATCTCGTTTTCAAGGGGGTCCTAAAGTACATCACAACCATCAAAAACAATGAAAAAAAGAAAAAGTACATCAATTATATATTTGTCAATGTATAGACAGACAACAAACACATATAGACCAACAAATACAGAGCAACAACACCAGAAAAACAAAACAAACAAACAAAAACAACCCACAATAATAGTTACAGAAATATAAAGAACTTTACAACCACTAGATGGTCAAACTGGCCAATAGTACATATGAAATTGTATGTACATGGATCACAAAATAATAACACAATTAATTTTAGTATAGGGTATAAACAATGTGTCAGCATCATTCATTACATGAGCAATCCATCACAAGGTAAGAAGACAGGGTATGCTTAAACATCCCAAATGAAGCCATGGATCTAATATCAGCCCAATCCAATGGGGCTTTAAACATAAAAGCTCTTTTGCCAACTGATTTCTCAGCTCGAGGGACAGAGAAATAATGCTGAGCAGAGTGCCTCAATTGATCATTTGAAATAACAGGAACAAGATACTGTTGTAAATAAGAAGGGTAATTGAAATGAATACACTTGAATATAAGTTGAAGCCAGTGAATATATCTTCTTATGTTTAGAGATGGCCATTTAAGAGCATTATACATTGTGCAATGATGCGTGAGAAAGGGACATCCAAGGACAAATCTGCAGAGTCTAGTATATGCTGTTTTAAGACGGCAAATGTCTGATTTTGCAGTGTTTTGATAAACAACATCACAGTAGTCAAAAATTGTAAGAATAAGTTGAGAGGCAAGTTTCTTACGCACACTAAGCGTAAAGCAATTACGAGATCGATGTAGAGCATTAATTCCATAGTTGACTTTATGTAAGTCATGATCAATATGTGGTTTGAAAGAGAGCTCAGAATCAAACCATACTCTAAGATATTTAAAATTTTCAACTTTAAGCAGAGGAGTACAGTCAGAACAAGTTATTATACACGAACCAGGTTTGGATTTGAGTTTCTGTCTGGTATCAAAAATCATAAGATATGATTTTGCTTTGCTGAGCAATAATTTATTATGAAGAAGCCAATCTTGTAAGATTTTGAAATCATACTGAAGACAAGCTTTAATTTGTGGAAGATCAGGTTTAGATGTATATAAGACAGTGTCATCAGCATAAAGTTGAGCACAACAGTTATTGAAAATAGATGGTAAGTTATTAACATAGATGGAAAAAAGAAGTGGTCCCAATGTTGGGCCCTGGGGCACACCTCTGTTGTGAATCAACAAATTAGATGTATTCCCATGTAGGATGACACATTGTTTTCTATTGTGGAGATATGAACTAAACCACAGGACTGCATTTTCAGAAAGACCAATAGCATGAAGTTTATCTAAAAGTAAATAGCGATCAACAAAGTCAAAAGCTTTAGTCAAGTCAATAAATATTGCACCTGTAAGTTCACCATTATCTGCAGCAGAGAACACATCATTAGTGAATTTAAGAAGGGCAGTAGATGTAGAGTGGTTAGACCTAAAGCCAGACTGAAATGGTGATATTGTTGGCACTAAGATAATGTGAGAGTTGATTATAAATACATTTTTCAAACACTTTGGCAATAGAACATATAATAGATATGGGTCTATAATTGTTAAGATCTAATAAATCTCCTCCTTTATGTATTGGAGTGATGCGTGCACATTTCCAGATGGCTGGTAACTCACATGTAGACAAAGAGAGACTGAATAAATCAGTAAGTGGATACATAAGTATATGGGATGCTAGTTTGATAAAGTTATTTTCTAAACCATCAAGTCCAGCACCACTGTTCACTTTTAATTCATTAATGGCATTCTGAACTTCATCTGGTTGAATTTTCCTAAAAGAAAAAGAACTGTGACTGGGCGAAGTATTATTAAAAAAGCCAGTACTCGGATCAGATTTGGGTAGTTGGATAGAACAAACAGAGGAGAAATGGTGATTGAATGCTTGAGCAATAGATAGGGAGTCACGTAGTATTGTATTAACAACTCGTATTTGATTAATAGGATGTTTATCGGATGTATTGATAATAGTTTTAATTTATAATATTTAATAATAAAATTGCTACTGAGGCTTTCCTTATAGTAATTAGATTTTGCATTACGGGTTTTAGTCTTGGTCATAGTTCTCAGCTGCCTGTATACTTCCCAATCAGCATTAGTCCTTGTTCGGCAGAATATTGACCATGCTTTGTACCTCTGCAAGAGACTAATAAGTTCAGGGTCAATCCAGGGGAGATGATTACCCTTGACCATAACAGTTTTCCAAGGAGCATGTTTGTCCAAGACTTCAATAAACTCCGTGTAGAAGAAATCCCAGGCGTCTTGTACATTAGGTATAAGTTGGTATCTGTCCCAGTTAATAGCAATCAGATCATTGATAAATACATCTGAATTCAGTTTCTTGTGTTGTCTGGTTTTGATTTAGGTAGTTTGATTTTCCATACACAATAGACTATCGAGTGATCACCACAGCAGTCAGACATAACACCTACACTTAAGAAATGGGTGTGAAACGAGTATCCAGTCAAGCAGGGATTGAGTTGTAGGGGTGATTTGAGTAGGCTCCTTAATTAGCTGTGTGAGATTTAAACTACTAAGTAAATTTTTTACTTTATCAGATGATTTATCTAACCAGTTTTTATTGAAATCCCCAAGCAAGATAATTTCATTTTTACAGGAGATGGAGCTGATAGTGGATATCAGGCGATCAAAGGTTTCAGCTGGTGAAGAGGGTGGTCTATATATGCTCCCAATAATTATACATTTATTTGTATGAAAAATTACCTTAACAAAAACACATTCAAAATGTAGAGGCTCAACTGTGGGTATGGTCACCTCAGATATGATCTCAGAGGAAACATATATAGCCACACCTCCACCTCTGGAGCACCTATCAGATCTAAATAGGGAAGGGAAGTAAGCCTACCATGCTTCAATACTGCACACAAAGTCTACTTCTAAACCACTGATGTTCATGGAAAATCCTTTGCAAAAGTCTTTTCAATCAATTTGTATCAAAGCATTTGTTTTAGCCTTTTTAGAGTTAGTAAGTTGCAGACATTTAATAAGTTAATAAAAGACAGTTCACATCCTATTTTTTGTGTTCTTACTGTCACACATTGTTGGCCTATGTTTATTATCATCATAGCTGTGTATTCAGCTCTGACAATATGACCACTAGTCTGTTGCTGAGCTGTGATAGAGTGAGACCGAGTTCATCTGATTTCAGTAGCAGCTAGCTTATTATAATGTCCATTGGTATCAATCTTAAAACATGTTTTTAGGAAAGTATTAAGTTATGATATACCACCACTGGCACACCACAGACCTGTTGTTGCAGGGCCCCCGAGGGGTGTGGCCCCCACTGCGGCAGGCGTCCCTTATTTTTCTGTATTGAAGGTAGCAACCCTAGTGCTGCTGTCCATTCCAGTCCCAATAAAGCTCTATTAGAAATATGACAACACGCATTATTGATCAGAACTTTCTCCGACCGTACACGCAGGTTGACATTACAAACATGCGCAGTAAATGTAACTTGGCAAGCCAATCGGGCCTGGCTCACAGCCGGAGTTCATCCTAAAAGGTGTCAGATGGTGTTGAGGTCTGGGCTCTGAGCAGGCCAGTCAAATTCTTCCAGACCAAACTGTGTTTTTTATGGACCTGGCTTTGTGCACGGGGGGCTTTGTCCTGTTGAAACAGGAAAGGGACAAACACCAACTGTTGCAACAAAGTTGGAAGCCCACTATTGTCTTAAACAGTGGTTCTCAAACTTCTGTCAAGCCCTCCTTTAGAAGCCGAAAAAAGCCCACCAACTCCATCAAAAGTGGATTTCATTTTTTTTTCAATCATTAACAACACGGGGGATTGAAATAAAACAAAAGATACTGTTTAGCTAAATAACCTCGCTTGCCTTTTTTTGGTTATGCCACCAAATGAATCACATTCCTGCCACTTAAGATTCACTCAACATCCACGCCCCCCCTGCAGTGGAATTATGCCCCCCAGTTTGAAAGCCACTGGTCTAGTATCCTTGTAGTGTGCTGTAACAGCAAAGAATGTTTTTCCTTGCCATTGCTGCCAAGAGCTTGCTCATTATGGGAACTGTTGGGGGTCTGTTATTGATATTAGAGTAGGCTATAGTCTAGACCTGCTTTATAAAAGCCATGAGATAAACTGATGATTTGTTGCTGTATAAATAAAACATTTATTGAAATTAAGATTTCCCCTGCAGCAAACTGTAGCAGAGGTTTTGGAAGACTTCTTTTCTCTGTTAACTGCTCAGAAATCCTGACACACTAACCCACACAAATAAATCTAACCACTAAAAAAAAAATCTGATTTGAGGCTCTGATAGGGGAGCTGAGCGTTGAGGAATGTAGGCCGGAGCAAGGGGCTGGTTTCTCACCGAGAGCTCGTCTGATTCACTCTGATTCACACGCCCAGCAGCTCATAAAACAACAAAGTTTACAATGAGTGTGGCTTGTTCTACAGCGAAGCTTTGTCTCGGCTTGTTGCCCTTCTCAGATCAGCGGTTTACTGGGCTCTGTC